ATATATATATATATATATATATATATATATTAATTGATATAGCTCGAATAACGAATATAGATTTTTGGTTTAGCTATAATGATTTTTTGATTGTACAAAATAAAAGGCACTCATCTTCTTACTCTCTCTCATGGAATTATGTTTCTATTAAACAAAGAAGATGACGATTAAACGAAGAGGTTGACGACTGAACAATTTATACACAAAATTGTGATCAAATCCAATGTTGATAAATAGATAAAAGTTTGGGAGAGGACCAAAAATGTACTAATTTAGCAAACATGAGGGACAACAAGGGAGGGGTTTTATGTGAAAAAAGTAAAAATGATTTTGAGTTAAAATTTTGAGTCTTTTTAACTCAAAAGATAAAAAGGACTATTTTGAGGCTCTTTCTCTATAATAGTGTGTTTAACTTCTTCACATTTGATAGAGTACACTTTAAAGGTAATTAAAGATAACACTAAAAATTGAGTAGAATTAACAATTTGAAAAACAACACAAATAATCTTTTACAACAGATTAAATTACACTAAGAATTAAGTAAACGTTCATATGTACTAGTGTCAATGTGTATGCATATATATACAAGTCAAATACGGAATAATATTACAACAATGTCGTTCAATTTTGGAATATTATGCAATCGAGTTCATCACACATAAATTTATAATTAGAGAGAGAAAATACAAAGAAGGAGAAGTTGCTAAGAGGAGAAAGATTGAAGCCACAAATCAACATCAATAAAAGATGAGTTAAGGAATGGAAGAGCTTGTGTATCGTTAAGTCTTTGAACATATGGCGCCCTCAGCGCCATATTCAATCCTGCTCCAAAGCAATTGTACTCCCCATAAAAAAATGTCCTATAATAATTAAGTTAAAAATTAATTAAAGAATGTAATTTTTATTGCGATATATAATTTAAATTTTTAGGTGAAATGTTTATACTGTTACTTAACTGGTCTCTCACAGGGTCATTCAAGTCATTCCAACCCTCAGGAGCCACGATATCCGTCATGAAAGTGTTAGCAAAGACGACCGTGGAGTAAGGCCTCCACGCACACCTCAACCAAATTCTACCAGTGCCTCCTAAAGTGCAATTCACGAAAGCGAAGCCACTATTTTCGTCTTTGGTTGCTCTGTCGTGTGCTGTTACTGCCTCGTTTATTTGTTCAATTTTATGATTTAGCATCAAGATATAGTAAGGCTTTTAACACACTTAAGTTACTAATCATGTATAATTAGTACATAAGTCTTCCTTTGTTTTTTTTGAAGATAAGGAGGAAAATATTGGCCAAATTAATCTATCAAGTTTTAAAGGTAGCTCGAATACCTTTTGATTGATAAGTTTGCAACAAGCTAATATATTTGAAAAAATCAATGGCATTTCTCTTTCTTTTTTTTCAAATTTATATTAATTATGTTCGTTGTGAATGAGTTTACACGAACATTTTTATCATGAAATGTGATGAAACCAGCACCATAAGCTGAGAAACGATAAGTTTCCTTCATTAATGGAGGTTGAGCTTTCACCAACAATCAGAGAGAAAAGAAAATATATTATTGAGAATGAAAAACTAACTGTAATCAATACAATGTATGTGTATAAATACACACTGATGGAGTCTAACACTTCTAACAAACTCAGCCGACTAACTATGCTGAAAATGGTAAACTTGTGATTCCTAACTAACTAACTAATTCTGTGAATGAACAATGTACGCTTAAACTAACTAACCTACTAATCTAATTTTATCACCCCCTCAAGTTGGAGGTGAGTTACTTACAAACAACTTGCTTAATAAATTAGTATGCTTGACTCCAATTAAGGCCTTAGTAAAGACATCAGCCAATTGTGAATCTGTGGGGATGTATTGAAGTGTGATCAATCATTGTTGTAGCTTGGTTCTTAAAAATTGGCTATCCACTTCTATATGTTTAGTTCTCTCATGAAAAACTGGATTCTTAGCAATGTGCACTGTAGCTTGACTATCACAAAAGACATGTATGGGTAAGGAACACTTCACTGAGAGCTCATCAAGTAATCTTTCCAGCCATACTAATTCACCCACTACTTGTCTCACAGCCCTGTACTATGTTTCTGTTGAGGATAGTGACACTGTGGCTTATTTCTCAGATTTCCAACTAATGGGGCTATCACCCATGAGTACCAAGTAACCACTCACAGACTTCCTTGAATCAGGAAAAGAGGCCCAATCTGAGTCACAATAAGCACTAATGGTGAGGTCAAATTTGTTGGAGATAAAAACTCCTAATGTAGGGTCCTGTTGTAGATATCTGAGCACATGATAGGCTGCCTTCAAATGAGGTTCTCTAGGGGATTGCATAAACTGACTAAGGTGCTGGACACTATATGCTATGTCCATCCTTGTGTTAGTGAGAAAATCAAGCTTGTCTACCAGTTTTCTGTATTGAGTAGGATCTGACAATAGTGTGCCTTCTGTCAGCTTCAGTTTCTCAGTGGAGTCCAATGGTGAAGTAGTGGATTTATAATGCATAGAGTTAAATTCCTTCAAGAGATCAAGAGTAAATTTTCTCTGTGAGATGAGAACACCATCCTGTCTGTACAGTATTTCCAAACCAAGGATGTAATGCAGCCTTCCTAAGTCTTTTATCCTGAATTTCTCATGGAGGAAAGATTTCAAGGAACCAATATCCTTCATGTCAGTACCAGTTAAGATAATATCATCAACATATACAACCACAAATATTAGAGAGCTTTCATTCTTCTTATAAAACAGTGAATAATCACTATCTGAATGAGTGTATCTTTTTGAACAAAGACTGTTAGCCAGTTTGTCATACTATTGTCTGCTGGCTTGCTTTAAACCATACAATGACTTCTTCAATCTGCAAATTATGTCACTACTCTCCACTGCCAGGCCTGGTGGTAATGTCATGTACACTTCCTCATTTAAATCGCCATGGAGGAAGGTATTATTGACATCCAACTGGTATATGTTCCAACCTTGCTTGACTGCTAAAGAGATCAGAGTCCTGACTGTGGTCATCTTTACCACATGTGAGAATGTTTCATTGTAATCTATTCCAGCTTGTTGTTTGTACCCCTTTACCACTAGTCTTGCCTTGAACATTTCTATAATGCCGTCTGCCTTGTTTTAATCTTGTACACCTATTTACACCCTATAACAATCTTTCCTTTAGGCAAGTTAACTAGTTCCCAAGTATCATTTGCATACAAGGCATCAAATTCTTGTGTCATTTCCACTTGCCAAGCAGGATTCAAGATTGCGTCTTTATAAGAGGAAGGTTCAATATCATGTGAAACATTATTGATTAACTGCTGGCTATCAGGACATAGTGTAGTGAAACATACATAATCAGGGTGAGATATGAATGATGTGAGTGAGTGTTATGGATCTGAAACATTAGGTATGGGTGGAGAATGATGTAGGTTGGGTAATGAGTATGTGTAGTCTTTCAAGTAGCTTGAGGGGTGAAGGGACCTAGTTGTTCTTCTAGGTACAAAATAAGCATCACCAAGGGCATAAACAGTGGGTCCAACAGGAGGTATAATGATTGTAGGCTCAGTGATAGGTTCATTGTCAATTATGGGAACATGATCACAAGTGACTTCAACCAATGTGTTAGAATTCAACATTTCATCATCAACAAAGTTATTTGTTTTACTAGACATGCAAGGTAACATATCAGACATATCAAAATGATGTACAAGGAACTGCAAGACAAAATTAAAACTAGAACCAACATGAGCAATGACAAAAGGAAAAATAGTTTCATGAAAAAGGACATCTCTGGACACATGAATTCTCTTGGTAGCCAAATCTAAGACCTTGTAGCCTTTTGTATTAAAAGGGTATCCAATCAAAATGTGGGGTGTTATTCTTGGCTCAAATTTGTCCTAAAGGGTTTTCAAGGTAGTTGGAAAGCAAAGGCATCCAAAACTTATAAGGTGGGAGTAGGTTGGTTTCTTTTGATATAACAGTTCATATGGGGATTTGTTTTGTAGGAGTTTTGTAGGTAGTCTATTGATCAGATAGGTGGCAATTAAGACACATTCCTCCTAATATTTCATGGGTAGTTTTGACTGAAATAGAA